TTCACATCATAAGTGCGTGTGGGATCTCGCCCCGCTAGGAAGGTTAAATTTGTTAAAAAAAATTTAAAAAACAGCTGCCTCCACTTAAAATCCAGTTTCTCATAGAGAAATGACCCACCTCTCCAGAAAAGCGGGTCTCTCTGGCAGGGGGGCAGGAGTGGAAATCTGAGAACCATCAATCAGTGAGGATAAGCCACGCCCATCCCGAAAGGTTAGCGGATCCAATAAGGAGGTGGAGGAGTAAGAGGAGCCAGGAGCTGACAGCCGCGAGGAATGTGATGTTTGATGCAGGGAAGAGGACGATGGGGAGGACAGAAGGGGCCCCAGGAGTCCGGTAGACCGACGTAAGGAGGCAGAAAGAGGAGGAGGAGGAGGCAGCATCACATGTATGGAGGAAAGAGGGGGCACCAAGGGGAGGGGAGAGGAGGAGCGAGAGCCTGGCTGAGAAAAGGCATGGTCCCTGGGTGGGATCTGAGGGGGTGCGTCGTCCTCGTCACCCAGTGAAATGGAGCTGGAGCGAGCCTGCTGGTGGGCGGAGCGAGACAAGTTGTGTTTGGAGGGACGCAAGGGAGGGACGGGGCTGCGAGGAGGCAGCACTGGCAAATCCTCAAAGCAGGAGGTGAAAGAGGAGGTGGACGAGGGGGAGGGAGGAGGCAGGCAGATCTGTCGGTGGGGGCCCAAAGGCACAAGAGGCATGGGAGTAGGAGAGGAGGGGAGGGAGCGACCTGTTGCCATGGGAACCTGAAGCTTGACCATCACCTGTCAACAACAGAAACAAACAGCTGTCAAGTTAAAAAATAAAATAAAGTTCATCATCTGTAAAGTAGAAGAACAACTCCTGCTCGTGGTGTGCACCTCTCTCTGCAGCTCCTGGAAGAGGTCAGCTGACTGAGACTCACTCCTGCTCGCCACGCTGGGCTCTGGAGCAGCTTCTTCGTTTGTATTGATGGAGCGCACCTCCTGGTCCTCGGACTGCTCATCAAGGTCCGCCGCAACCTCGTCGTAGGCTGGCTGAGGAAGAGGCCAGTCCAGGATGGAGGGAGTGTCCTGAGTCAGTCAGAGACATAAAGAGTTAAAGGACACAAAGATCTCCAGAAGAGTTCGAAAAGTAGAAATAAAAAGTTCAACATGTAACAATCTTCATAAAACATGTGACGGCTTACAAAGCAAAAGGTTTGCCCAAAATCAAAACATAAAAAACCCAGCTAATTTATCATGTAACAAAGTGGATAATGCTATATTCAAATAGATAATTTTATTTAACACAAATGCTAAAACACAAAAACAGCTTAAAATAGAAGAAAACTAAAATGAACCAAAAATAATTTAAGACCTCACATTATAAAATAATGTCTGCCAAGGCATGACACTCTTTGAGTTTAAAACATTAAGATCTACTGCATTTATTTGTTCTTACATTTCTATTGTTTTTATTTGTACTTTGATCAACAATATAATTTCACTTTGGTATTGATAAAGCATTTTAAAATTTTGATAAATCTCCTTTATATGTTAATATGAACAGAGTAACTTTCATATTGATGCACAACGGGTATATTTTTGTTCAATAATAATATATGAACCTTTTATTTAATAATGTCATCAATCTAAGATGAGCATTTGTTAGTTTTACTTGATTAAGTTAAATTTAAAATGTTTTGAGATAGACAGAGATCCTGTCTGAACTAGGAGAAAGTGGGGAATGTGTTGTAAGACTATTTCAGACAAGAGTAGTCGATCATAGATTACAGACAACAGAAGTGCTTTCAAGTGTTTTAGGTTTTGTCTTTACATAGTTATATTTAGTTTAACTCAGAGCCGCAAAGATTGAAATCATTAGTGACATAAGTCAGCTGAAATCCCACACAGACACAGAAAATATCACAAATCTATAATTTTATACATTTTCTTCCCACTCGGAGTCCACTGTTATGAAACAAAGCCTATTTAAATTAAAATTCGACTGGTAAAGTGACTCAAGCACATCAGTGAATTGTTATGCCTCATCTTATAATAACATTGTTGAAGATTCTGAATATTGCAGTGGGTTAGTCCACAAACCAATGTTAGGTTTGTTGCCCACAGCTACCTGTGTGGAATGAAGCCCACGTCTTTATGTGCATAAAGAGCTACAAATGTAAACCCAGTCACCAGTGGTAACTTGAGACATACAGGCACTTATGGAAAACCTTCTTCACACAAGTCCTAAATGTAAATAAAAGAAAACACAGTTAAACAAATGAGACAAAAATATTATACGTGGTCATTTATTTATTGAGGAAAATGATCAAATTTTACATATTTGTGAATGACAAAAGTATGTGAACCTTTGCTTTCATTCATTCATTCAACCTTTTTTTTCTTCAGTATCTAGTGTGAGTCCCCCCCCCCGCCCCCCACCGTACAGCAATAACGTAAACCTTTCGGTAACTGTTGATCAGTCCTGCTCACCCGCTTGAAGGAACTTTAGCCCATTCCTCCGTACAGAACAGCTTCAACTCTGGATGTTGGTGGTTTCCTCACATTAACTGCTGCTTCAGGTCCTTCCACAACATCTGGATTGGATTAAGGTCAGGACTTTGACTTGGCCGTTCCAAAACATGAACTTTATTCTTCTTGAACCATTATTTGGTAGAACCACTTGTGTGTTTAGAGTCACTGTCACTGCATGACCCACCTTCTCTTGAGATCCAGTTCATGGGCAGATGCACTGACATTTTCCTTTAGAATTCTCTGATACAATTCAGAATTCATTGTTCCATCATTTGGGTTGTCCTGGCCCAGATGCAGCAAAACAGACCAAACCATGATACTACCACCACCATGTTTCACAGATGGGATAAGGTTCTTTTGCAAGAATGCAGTTTTATTTTCTCCAAACATAACACTTTTCATTTAAACCAAAAAGTTCTATTTTGGTATCATCTGTCCACAAAACATTCTTCCAACAGCCTTCTGGTTTGTCCAACTCATCTGCAGATGAACAGCAATGTTCTTTTTGGAAAGCAGTGGTTTCTCATTCAACCCTGCCATGCACACCATGGTTGTTCAGTGTTCTCCTGATGGTGGACCCATGAACATCAACATTAGCCAATGTGAGAGAGGTCTTCAGTTGTTAGAAGTTACTCTGGGCCCTTTGTGGCCTCACCGACTATTCCATCACTCTTGGAGTGATCTTTGTTGGTCCGCCACTCCTGGGGAGGTAACAATGGTCTTGAATTTCCTCCATTTGTACACAAACCTGTCTGACTGTGGATTGGTGGAGTCCAAACACTTTACAGATGTTTTGTAACATTTTCCAGCTTGATGAGCATCAACAACTCTTTTTCTGAGCTCCTCAGAAATCTCCTTTGTTCCTTCCATGATCCACTTCCACAAACATGTTGTGAACATGTTGTGACTGTGGACTTCAGAAGGAACAAAAACATCTACACCCCCTGAACATAAGAGGATCTGCGGTGGAAGTGGTCTTCAGCTACAAGTACTTGGGTGTACACATGAATGACAACCTCAGCTGGAGCAACAACACCACCAGCCTGATCAAGAAAGCTCATCAGAGACTACTTCCTCAGACGGCTGAGGCGAGCTGGTCTGGGAAGCTCAGTCCTCACCTCCTTCTGCAGGTGTGCAGTGGAGAGCATCCTGTGCTCCAGCATCAACGTGTTGCATGGAGGCTGCACAGCTGCAGAAAGAAAAGCTTTGCAGAGAGTGGTGAAGGCTGCACAGAAGTCTGTCGGAATCAGCCTCCCCACCATCACAGACATCTACACCTCCAGATGCAGGAAGAGGGCCACCTGCATCATGAAGGACCCCACTCACCCAGCACACACACTTTTTGCCCCACTCCCCTCAGGAAGGAGGTTGAGGAGCATTAAGTGTAGAACCACTAGACTGAGGAACAGCTTCTACCCTGAGGCTGTTAGACTCATGAATCTCTAACTAGAATAATCACTGTGAAAAACCATATCATGTTGCTGCTGATCTGTTTCATGTTTCTGCTGATCTGTTTCAATGTTGATGTGTTCATGCGTGCACATCCGCTCACAGACTCATGTTCATGTTTGTGCTGATGTTCAATGTTTTATGTTATGAGTGCTTAGTGTATATTTAGTTTATGTTTTTCTTAGTTCATATCTTAGATGTTATTACTGTTTTTCTTATACATTTTATTGTTGGATGTAACTGGGACCCTGTGTACATAATTTCGCTCCACCACATGTACCACATGAGGTGCGAATGACAATAAAGAATCTCTGACTCTGAAGAGCAGACTTTGATAGATCTTGTTCTTTAAATCAAACAGGGTGAAACTCACACCTGGTCATCATCCCATTGATTGAAAACACTTGACTCTACTTTCACCTTCAAATTAACTGATAATCCTAGAGGTTCACATACTTTTACCACTCACAGATATGTAATATTGGATCATTTCCTCCACTTTTTTGTCTCATTTGTTTAACTGTGTTCTCTTTATCTACTTTTATGACTTGTGTGAAAATCTGATTATGTTTTAGGTCATTTTTATGCAGAAATATGGAAAATTATAAAAGCTTCACAAACTAGGTGAAAAAAAATGTCTCAGCTGTGCCTTTGCAAAACATAACTGCAAAGTTCTGTTGGGAAAAACACACATTTTTAATAAAAAAAATTAGCTACAATAAAAAAATTCAAATATCTTGTTTGTTTTTTCACTTTAAATTGAAAACACAATATTTAAATTTCTATATTAAATGCTACACTGCCTGGCCAAAAAAAAAAGTTGCCACCAAAATAAAAAGGTCACACTAATATTTCATTGGACCACCTTTAGCTTTGATTACAGCAGCATTCACTGTGGCATTGTTTCAATAAGCTTCTGCAATGTCACAAGATCTATTTCTATCCAGTGTTGCATTAATTTCTCACCAAGATCTAACATTGATGACTAGACACTAGGTATGATGTCATCACTTCACCTGCCTCTCTTCTTACCCTGATGCAACCATCACTCTGGAACAGGGTCAATCTGAACTCATAAGACCACATGACTTTCTTCCATTGCTCCAGAGTCCGATCTTTATGCTCCCTAGCAAACTGAAGCCTTTTTTTCCCAGTTAGCCTCACTAACTAGTGGTTTTCTTAAGGCTACACAGCTGTTCAGTCCCAATTCCTTGAGTTCTCTTTGCATTATGCGTGTGGAAATGCTCTTACTTTTACTATTAGACATAGCCCCGAGTGCTACTGTTTCTCTTCGATTTGATTTCACCAAATGTTTAAGTGATCACCGATCACGATCATTGAGGACTTTTTCCGACCACATTTCTTTCTTGAAGACGATGGGTCCCCACTATCCTTCCAGTTTTTAATAATGCGTTGGACAGTTCTTAACACAATTTTAGTAGTTTCTGCAATCTCCTTAGATGTTTTCTCTGCTTGATGCCAGTGATTTAACCCTTCTCAAATGGACTGACATCTTTTCCACGACCACACAATGTGTCTTTCGACATGGTTGTTTAAGATATGAGAAGCAACTCATTGCACCAGTTGGGGTTAAATAACTTGTTGCCAGCTGAAAGATAATTGCCCATGCAGTAATTATCCAATAAGAGGCTCGTACCTATTTGCTGAGTTAAATTCAGGTGTAGACTTTTCTTTTTTTTTTTTTTTTGGCCAGGCAGCTTATGTACTGGCAGCACAAACTTTATCAGTAAAGAGACTTTATGCTGCTCCGCTGTGAATTACTTTATCATCTTTTACAAACTCACTGAACATGACTGTTAAAAAACATCATCTGAAGCTGCTTGTGCAGAGATGAGTGCTGTTTGGAAAAAGCTAAAATAATAAAGAGTTTGAGCTTATGTTGGTCAATATTAGTAGATTTTAGAAGACTGGGAGAACTGAGAGTCCAGTTCTTAGGACGTGAAGCGGTCATGGGGTTGTTTAATTCTCTAAGTGGCTGAGACAGTGAAGTCTCACTACCTTCAGGGTGTCTTCGTCTGGTTGGTGTGTCTCTGATAGCGGGGAGGGGGTGGTCGAACTGAAGCTGTCGTCTGTGAAGTCAATAAGTGACACTTCACTTTTGGCTGAACGAAAACCGGCTCCCTCCCACGGTCGGAGCTTCAGACCCAGAGACACTCCCAGCTTCTTCAGCCCCGATGAACTGCTGACGTCATCCTCATCCTCATAATCGTCCATCACTGAGTCATATAATGGCTCTGGACACAAAAGCAAACAACAAAGTCAGGAAAGTGCACGTCCATTTAAAGGTCAAACCAAAGACAGCAGATATCAGTGAACAAAGAGGAAAACTCACTCTTAAACAGAACAGCAGGCTGAGGCGGGCGGGGAGGTGGCTTCTCTGTTAACAACAGATTTAGACGTTTTGTTAGGCGCTAACAGAAATATTAAATTACTTCTCTTCAGCATCATAATCAAATAAAAAATATATACTTTTTGCACGGTTGGGTAGTTTGGTTGGTCTTGCAGTACCAGCATCAAATCCCAGGACATCCGGAGGGTCCATGGGGTTCCCCAAATACAGGCTGAAGATGGAGAAAATCACTTTAATGGCAGCAAATGTTAACTTTGATCACGTTTAGAAACAAACAAATATATTTAAACAAGATTCCAGTTCTTCATGTGTTTTATCACCTTTCCTTTCAACTTATACTGTTTGTCTGAAACACGTTTTGCCGCCATATAAAACCTCAGCTGCTGTAACAGCTGAGAGGAAGATTCTTGGGCTGATTCTTCTGAACTTGAAACTATTGTGGGATTTCCTGGATATACAGGTGCTGGTCATAAATTAGAATATCATGAAAACGTTGATTTATTTCAGTAACTCCATTCAAAAAATGAAACTTGTATATTACATACATTCACTACACACAGACTGATATATTTCAAATGCTTATTTCTTTTAATGTTGATGATTATAACTGACAACTAATGAAAACCCCAAATTCAGGATCTCAGAAAATTTGAATATTAAGAAAAGGTTCAATATTGGAGACACCTGGTGCCACACTCTAATCAGCTAATTAACTCAAAACACCTGCAAAGGCCTTTAAATTGTCTCTCAGTCTAGTTCTGTAGGCTACACAATCATGGGGAAGACTGCTGACTTGACAGTTGTCCAAAATACGACCAGTGACACCTTGTACAAGGAGGGCAAAACACAAAAGGTCATTGCTAAAGAGGCTGGCTGTTCACAGAGCTCTGTGTCCAAGCACATTAATAGAGAGGTAAAGGGAAGGAAACAATGTGGCAGAAAAGAGTAAAAGCAATAGGGATAACTGCATCCTGGAGAGGATTGTGAAACAAAACCCATTTCAACATGTGGGGGAGATTCACAAAGAGTGGACTGCAGCTGGAGTCAGTGCTTCAAGAACCACCACACACAGATATATGCAAGACGTAAGTTTCAGCTGTCGCATTCCTTGTGTCAATCCACTCTTGAACAAGAGGCAGCATCAGAAGCGTCTCGCCTGGGACTGCTGCTGGGTGGTCCAAAGTTATGTTTTCTGATGAAAGTAACTTTTGCATTTCCTTTGGAAATCAAGGAACCAGAATCTGGAGGATGAGAGGAGAGGCACAGAGTCCATGTTGCTTGAGGTCCAGTGTCAAGTTTCCATAGTCAGTGATGGTTTGGGGTACCATGTCATCTGCTGGTGTTGGTCCACTGTTTTTTCTGAGGTCCAAGGTCAACACAGCCGTCTACCAGGAAGTTTTAGAGCACGTCATGCTTCTTGCTGCTGACCAACTTTATAGAGATGCAGATTTCATTTTCCAACAGGACTTAGCACCTGCACACAGTGCCAAAGCTACCAGTACCTGGTTTAAGGACCAATGTATCCCTGTTCTTCACTGACCAGAAAACTTGCCTGACCTTAACCCCATAGAAAATCCATGGGGTTTGATGAAGATGTGATATACAAGACCCAACAATTCAGAAGAGCTGAAGGCCGCCATCAACCTGGGCTCTCATAACACCTGAGCAGTGCCACAGACTGATAGACTCCATGCACATTGCTGCAGTAATCCAGGCAAAAGAAGCCCCAACTAAGTATTGAGTGCTGTACATGCTCATACTTTTTATGTTCATACTTTTCATGTTCATACTTTTCAGTTGGCCAACATTTTAAAAAAAATTGTTCTTAAATAATATTCTAATTTTCTGAGATACTGAATTTGGAGTTTTCGTTAGATGTCCATTATAATTATAAACATTAAAATGAATAAATATTTGAAATATATCAGTCTGTGTGTAATGAATGAATATAATACACAAGTTTCACTTTTTGAGTGGAATTACTGAAATAAATAAACTTTTTTATGATATTCTAATTTTATGAGCAGCACCTGTAAATGAAAAGAAATCTGGTGAGGGCTATTTGTGATGCTCTGCTGCCCTCCAGTGGACAGCTGCAGTATAAGCAATGTTAAAAGTACTTTAATAGTGCATGCCATTACTTCAATACATACAAGACTTCAAATCAGAAGATTTAGTGATGCATTGAGGTGTTGCTGTTTCAAAAATTATACTTTTAGATTATTATATTAAGTAATTAGAGGAAACTTTATGTAAGTTATATAACTGTAGTGCAGTGTATTGTTAACCTGTCTATTCGGTCTGCGTGTCCCCAGCTCCTGTGCGGGTCTGTGTCTCCGTGTCCAGTGTGGATGAAGGAATGTTTCAGCGGTCGGCTGATGTCTTGGGCAGACAGACCGGCCACTGACGTCACAACGTGACGAGGAAACTGACCGACACGAAGCGTCCGCCTGTTCTGACCTCGCCACCAATAATGCTCTGCCCTGCAAACGCATGAAGAAGTACAATTTCAAAAACAGTGAAGTTATTCAGAAACTCGTCTTTGTTTTCTTTTGGCAGCCTTCTAATAAAGCTTAGCCAAACTAAACGGACCATGTTTTTATGAGGCAAAGTTTTCAGAAAGACAGTTTTGTAGTGTCAATAAGAGACGGTTTGTTCTTATTCCTTGTGGGAATTGTTTATTTTTTTTTTTTTCACATGACATTCAGCAGTTCTGTTAAAATTATGATTTTGGTGCCAGGATTAGTTTGAAATAAAGATGTAAAAAAATGCAACATCTCTGTGTCCTACTATCACAAACTAACCTTCCCTCAATGATAGTGATGACATCGTTCATTTGGATCTGCAGCTTGTCTTCCTCCTCAAAATCCTGCAGGGCCCTCATGTCTGTAGGCATGCTCTGCAGAACAAACACTGTGTTATTACTGCCATCAGCAGGAATAGAGGCACCTTTAAGAAACAGTAAGTCCCTTCCTACAGCACAGTTTTAGTACTTTCTCTGGGGAAAACCTCTTATTTTAGTGATTATCAGACAATAAATTAAACAACAGGAGGGTGGACTCTATCAGTGTCTAAACAGGCAAAAAAAGACATGCTATAGTTTTAATCTTTATTATTTGCATAACCTGACAACATCATGTCTAAATCATTTTTTGCTCAACATAATTAATTGCTAGAAATAAAAACTAATTTAATTTATGAAATGCAGGGCCATTTTACAAAAAAAAAAGCATGCATAGCAGAGAGTCTCCTCACAAAATGCAGTGTAAACAAAACAATGATCCCTGCCAGGTGAAGATAACTCAATATTTTGGATTTACAGCTTTATAAGGTCTATATTGCTGAGATTTACAAGGTCACAGCAGTTTTAGTCCCACCTCGAGCAGGAAGTCTCTGAGAGCGATGAAGGTGGGCCTGTCTTCAGGTTTGGGGCTCCAGCACTGCAGCATGACATTGTAGATATCCTGAGGACAATCATCAGGCTTACACAACCGCTCAGCCTCAACATCCACCTTGTGAAGGATCTGCAGATATAATTATAACAATTAATACATTTTGACCATGTTTCAGTTGTTTTTAATGGTAATGGTAGCTTGAAAATGTGCAAGAATACACATTTACCAGACGTAACAGCAGAGCTATGAAGGCAGACATAGAAGTTCAAGCAGAGGCTGCCTGACCCAAAATAATTATTATATGAATTTAGCTTCCCCACTCGGCCTTCAATTGGCCAGCTATCTCAACTTCTCCTGGTTGTTTATGTCTGGGGTTCCCAAACCTGGTCCTTGAGGAACACCATCCTGCATGTTTTAGTTGATTCTCTACTCCGAAACACCTGATTTTAATAAATGAGTGATTTACAGGCTTCTGCAGAACATGAGGAAGTACAGTAATTAAATCACTGAATCAAGTGTGTTGGAGCAGGGAAGCATGCAGGATGGTGTTCCTCAAGGACCAGGGTAGGGAATCACTGGTTTATGTGAACGAGAAGTTCCACCAACCACCCCACCTCCCCAGGACATCTGTGGACCTGTATCAGAGCTGAGCCAGCTGATAGGCACTGTGCCATCTTTATCAGGACTATGGAACTTTCTGGAAGTGTCCACGAACAACTCACTGCCCTCGTCGGCCTCATAACTGCATTATGATGTCATCAGTATGTTGCTGTCTCATGTGCTGAGGTCATTTTTTTGCCACTTTCACATTGTGTCCCGTCTAGGACACAGTGTGAGGTTTGATTATTTTTTTTGCACTTACACTCTCCCTCGTGTTTCTTTTTCCTTATCTAAAAAAAAAGAGCTGCGCCTCTTGAGGCCGGCAGCCTCAGTCACCTCCGTTTCCCCATATCTGTTCGTTTGTCTCTCGGACAGGCTGTACTGAAATGGAATTTCTCTGCGCTCTGGTGCAACAACAATAAAGCAGATTTTGATTCTGATTTTTAGCCCAAACACTCATTTCTTCTTCTAATGTATCGCAGTAAAGCATGGAAAGATGCACCTGGCTCCCATTCAGCCCCAGCCACGGCTCCTGTCCGTGAGTGAACATTTCCCACAGCGTGACTCCGAACATCCAGGTGTCAGATGCATGAGAGAACGTTCGAGACTTCAAAGACTCTGGCGCACACCTGTAGACACAATATGACAAAGATAGAGATGAAAATGATACACAGGATGACAAAAGCAGAACTTACAACCTGCTCTCACCATGGGAAGGGGATTTTGTGGCCCTCCTCCATAATGTATTGATCAGTGTGAGTCGGCAGCGCCCTCATCAGGCCAAAGTCTCCAATTTTCACTGTATCATTGGTGAACAGCAGAACGTTGCGGGCGGCCAGGTCCCTGTGAAGGAAACGTTTCTGCTCCAGGTAAGCCATTCCACAGGCCACCTGCACAGGAACACAAGAAGATGCTCCTGGATTAATGCAATGGGAAAAACCAAGACATTTTTACTTTGTGTGCATTCACATCAGCCCTGTTTAGTCCGCTTTAATCGAACTCTAGCTCGTTTTCCTAGAAAGTCTGGTTCATTTAGGGAGGTGTGAACATGCCATCGAACTCTGTCACGGAACAAAAAGGTGAACTCTGGCCCGGGCTAAAACCTAGGTCTCGGTCCGGTAGAAGAGAACTCCAGCGCGGTTCGAGTACAGTGTGAATGTAAACAGACCGAGCCCCGCTCAGCAGGGTAAACAAACACGCATTTCTCTGACCTTATATGGAACCGTCAGCTGACTTGTGTGAAAAACAATATTCTCCATGGTCTTCTGCCTCATCTTCTGCTCATGCTAAGTCCATTTTTGAAAAATGACAAAATATAACTCCTAAAACTTCTAAAACTTGATGCCACTTCGTTTTTTATTTTAATTTACAGAAGAAGTGTCTTCAGAGGTTTTTGTGTCGTTTCTTTCAGTAGTTTTAGGTGCAGCGCCCCCACAGGCGAGGGGGGGAACAGGTTGGTTCAACAGGTTGACTCGACTGCACAGTGCAGTGTGAATGCAAACGCACCAGCTCAAATTTAAACAAAATGTCATGAATATTGGTCCCGAACCGAGTCTACCGGACTATCTGGTGTGAAAACGACCTTAGTAAGCTCGAGACAAAAATGAATGTATTAAAAACTCCTCTCACTCACAAAATAAAACTAAGCAACATCAGTGCATTTAGATTGCTTCACAACCTGCAAACAACAACAAAAAAATACTTGGGGCAGGTCTTGTCTTTTTGGCTTTAACTGACCTGTACAGCGTAGTTGCACAGGAGTGAGATGAGGATGTGACCCTGACGCTTTCTGAGACGATCCAACAGGGAGCCCAGAGGAGCCAGCTCAGTCACCTGCACACAAACACATACCAGGAACAAGTACATGGCTGAGTACATGTAGAAACTAACGTGAAGGGTGTGAGGTATTCATAAGTGTAAAATTCATCCAGAAGAGTAGACATTAAGAATATCTCCATGAGATGACAACTGAGAACATAATGAAGTTCTCTCATCAGTAATTATTGTTCACAGTAAAATCTTTCTGTTAATGTTAAAGGATCCCATCTCCTCAATGACAGATGAAAACTAGATAACTCTGAGGTTTAATATATAAAACTAGATAAATTGCATTTCCTGCAAAAATGCAGTGTGAGTGCTTATTTCTGAAGAACTTGCTAAAACAACAGCTGAAAATAGCTAAAAATGTGCTGAAATATAACTAAAATGGTAGAACAAGTCAACAATTAGGAAATTACTGGTAGCTTTAAAAAGCTGTCATTAGCAAAAAAAAAAACAGCTGAAAAGGAAGAAATACCACTAGAAGGAAGTGGAAAGAGCTAAAATGAGCTTAAATAAATGTGGAAAAGCTGAAAAGGCTAAATTTTACACAAAAACAGCTAAATAAGAGCTGAAATAGTAGAAAAAGCTGAAGCTAGCATAAATAAGCTGAAAGGAGCATAGCAAGCTGTAATAAGTAGCAGAAAGTACCACGGTAAACTTGAATTTATCTAAAAACAGCAGAAAGTAAATGCTAAAAATGTAGCTAAAAAGGTAGAACAAGCTTAAACTACCAGAAGAAAGCAGAAAGAACATGTTTGCCCAGTTAGGCTGAAAGAAGCAGAAATGAGCAGAAAAAAAGTGGAAATTATCTGGAAAAAGCTTGAAATTAGCAAACAAACAGCTAAATAGCAGCTAAAAACGCAGAAATAAATAAATTACCAGAAGCAGGTGGAAAGAACACAACAGATTCTTTAAAGCTACAATTGGAACTGATTTGTAATCATTATTTAGGCCAGTGTGTGCATAAGTTACCATCTTCATAGGCTGTGTGAGAACGATCCCATACAGGCGGATGAGATTCTGGTGGCTTAGGGTGTGCATGGCGTTAACCTCTCTGATGAAATCATCCAGACCTTCTGAGTCCAGCACGCCAGCTTTCAGACATTTCACTGCTACAGACAGCTAAAGAGACAAAAATAAATCACTGATGCCGCAGTTTCTTCACTCATCAGCAAGTTTTACAAATATCTTCCAACTCTTCATCTCACCACTGCGCCGTTTGGTCCAGTCCACTCGCCTCGCCGCACGACACCGAACGTGCCATCGCCGAGCCGCTCTAACAGCTGCAGCTCCGACTCTCTGATGAGGCAGGTGAGCGAGGCCCCCTGCTCGCTGCTGACCGGAAGGGCAGCGGAAGATGCGCCCTGGGGGAGGGGCTGCTGGGGGTCAGTGTCTGATCGTTTCACTGGAAACACCTGCAGACCAGAAATAAAAAGCCAATCTTAAGCTAATAAAGTGATGTGATACTTTTGTGGATCTCAAAACATAAAAAGCCATTTTATGTCTCATTTAAATGTAGATTAAATCAATTTGAGAATGAGTTTTTTTTTATATGTGCACTATGTACCATATTTTTTGGCCTATTTTGCATAATATGCATGTCCTACGACTTATACGCCGAAGCATGTATTCATTGATTCTTTTCCATACTTATAAACCAATTTTTGGCTGAGATACGACTGTTTTCATTCATTCTGACTGAAAATATTAAACACTATCATTTTCAGCCGCTAGATGGCAGCAGAGTAGTAGGGCATGCCGTTGTGTCATGTAATGGGTAAAAAGTGGCTACTAATGACACAATCATCTTGCCTTAGACTCTCACCTTCGTCTAGCTCGCCTGGAGCAAACATCAAATCAGATTGATTTTGCGGTGCCTCCCCGGCGAAATGCAGCTAATTGACCGTTAAAGTGCATTTATTAAGTAAAAGTTCAACTGAAACACACCTTTAATATAATGTTGAGCAAACAAATAATTGTTTTAGGTGCTTATCTTGTTAAATTTCGAAGAAATGAACAGCGAGTAGCCCTCCGCGCATTCCTGTTTCCGTGTATTGGCTTTTGAAAATGCAGCTGATTTGACGGTCAAAATGCATTTATTAAGGAAAAGTTAGACTGAAACACACCTTTGCTATAATTTCGAGCAAACAAATAATTGTTTTTAGGTGGTTATCTTGTTAAATTTCAAAGAAATGCCCAACTCGTCCCTCTGCACATTCCCGTTTCCGCATATCAGCTTTTGAAATGCAGCTGATTTGACCGTTAAAGGGCATTTATCAAGAAAAAAATAGACTGAAACACACCTTTACTATAATTTCGAGCAAAGAAATAATTGTTTTTAAGCGTTAGTCTTATTAAATTCTTGTTAAAGTCCTCCCATGCATGCTCCTGCAGCCGCCATTTGGCAGCCAACCGATTTTTGGCACACCACCGGCCCACGTTTCTTGTTTGTTAGCGGTGACGCATAATAGATGTGATGTATATGGCGAAGCAACATATTTATGGTTTTTTCCACTTTGTTAGACACATTTGTACTGATGTGACGTATAGGGCAGTGTGACATGTACTGCGGAAAATATGGTAAGTCAAACATTCTGCATAAAAATAAAAGTGTTCATTTTTTATTTTATTTTACTGATGCTTCATTTAGAGGCTCTATTAACATATGGTTAGTCTGTAAGATCTAAATTTGTGTAACTTAGTATGAGATTATTCACTAACATCAGTTTATGAAATCATCTCATTTAAAAGTCAGTTCTTTGTTTGCAGCAGGACAAAGGTGGTTATGCTGCTGTATTCATACCCATCTGCTCACTACAGACTCATGTTCGGGCTGCTGTTTAATATACCCTATTATTTTACATTATTAGCGTTTAGCGTATATCTTAGATCTTTTAGCGTATTGTTTAGCTTTCGTTTAGCATATATCTTACTTAGCGTATATCTTATATACCGTTTCTTTGTATACTTTATATTTTTGCTATTTTTGGGTGTAACTGGAACCTTGAGTACAAGTTTGTTCCACCTCATGTACCAAATGTGATGCGACAATAAAGAACCTTGAACTGCACCTTGCTCATCCAGGACTTGCGTTTATAGAGGGCTCTTCTTCTCTTGACAGCCTCCCAAAGCCTCCTCTGACCTGAACCAGCACAATAAAGGTTAAGCAAAGAAACACTGTACATATAAGAGCTTTCATAAAATGTATATTTTTTCATAAACACACAGGAGAACAGATTAAAGCTGAACATTTAAAATTAATACAATAAATGTCAAAGTTTAGAAGTCCCACCTGGGCGTCCCATGCCAATTTTCTCTAGATCTTCATTCTTGACGTAGTCAAAGTGGGAGAGTCGTGTGACGTTGAGCTCATCGCGGATCCGCAGGAAGTACTGCTGCAGCTGCACATCGGTCAGCAACTCAAGCAGCCACTCGGTTCCCTCCTCACACTGCATCTGAACACACGCAAGTTTATAATGTCCACTTTAACCCCGTTCAGAGTGTGTGCTTGAACGGCTTTACTGTTGATTGTAATCTTATTGGATATAATGTGTAATTCATCCAAGTGTCCCACAGGTCATGTGTCAAACAAAACGCTGGATAAACTCCAAAATGCGAAGGTGTCCTTCTTTTACTAAGTAAATAGTACATGACAGAGTTTTAATTATTATGGCCTTAGTTTGATAGAAAAAAAAAAACAATTCATAACTAATTATTATCCTGATGCATGCTCAATAATCCAGATAGAAAAAACTAAAAACAAGTTAAATCAGGTCCTTTGGACGGATTCTTCTTTGTAGAAACATTTAGTCTTTAATAAAGACTTCTTCAGTCTGAGGAGCTGCAACAAACTCAGTCTAATAAGCAGCACCTTCTCATAGTGAATCAACCAATTTACTGGTGAGAGCCAAAACTTATTGTTCACATGATAGAGGAGGACCATCAGCCTAACGATGGATCATTAGCACACTGATGGCTGCTTACTATTCACAGAGGGCTGAGTGATACTAGTAATAACAGCATTGTAAGAGGGGGACAGTTGAGCACGGAGGCCTCCACCCCTGTTTAATGATGGACGGTTTCTTTTCACAAAGATGGCCTCCTTTACTCCTCTCTCAAACCATCGTTCGTCTGTCCAGGATGTGAACATCTTCATCCCTGAAAGAGTGACCGCTGGCCTGGAGATGAGTGTAGACCGCAGAGTCCTGGCCTGATGATGTTGATCTTCTGTGCTGGGCCATCCTTTTGGCCAGTGGCTGTTTAGTTTCCCAGATGTAAGACTGATCACAGCCCAGCCTGACACTGAACAACATACACAATATTACTCTGTTTGTGCCGGGGGACTGGATCTTTGGGAAGAACCAGTCTTTGCCGTAATGTATTTTGGGGTTTAAAAGCCACTGGGACGTTATGTTTAGAAAATAAATGTCTCAGTTTCTCTGACACTCCCGCAACATATGGAATGACCACTGGTCTGGGTCTGGGTTCCTCTTTTTTCACCTGTTGGCTGACTGGAGTCCTGTTAGGGTTTCTTCTCTGCTTTTAGGAAGGCCCAGTTAGGATATCCACATTGCTCTAGAGCCTGTCTTGTGTGGGATTTCTCCTTCTGCCTGGCTCCTGATGCTGTCCGCTCTGTGGTAGAGTCCTGTGACTCTGTAAACAACTGTGTCGTCAGCATAGAAATGTATGGATGCATTAGGGATGTTTTTACATACATAATGTAGGTAAAAACATCCCTAATGCATCCATACATTTCTATGCTGACGACACAGTTGTTTATTGTCGAGTTAAAACTGTTGCTAAGGCTTTCCAGCTTTTGAAATCTGCATTCAACATCATCCAGACTGATTTGTTTCACCTCAAACTTGTCCTAAATGCCGACAAAACCAAAGGGATGCTTTTTTCAAATAGGAAGTTGGTCCCAGCAGTTCTTCCTCCGATTTTATCCTCAAATGGTGTCCCCATTGAGTTTGTTGATTCTTATAAATATTTGGGTATCTTGTTCGACTCACATCTCTCTTTTAAGCTCCATGTGGAAAACTTGATAAAGAAACTGAAAGTTAAACTGGGTTTCTTTTTCATAAACAGATCCTGTCTAACCCTGAATGCTAGGAAACGTCTTGTGTTTTTTTTTTTTTTTTTTTCATTTAGCCTTTATTTATACAGGTTAGTCTCATTGAGCCACAAGAACTCATTTTCAAGAGAGACCTGTTTAGGGAGCACATGGTGGGGGTTAAGGGCCTTGCTCATGGGCCCAGAGTGGGGCGAATGAGGGTGGGGGCAAGTGTGGGTGTTTCACCTACCTACCCCACCCACAATTTTGATGTTGTCGGGGCCGGGGCGTGAACCGGCACTCTTCGGATCACAAGCCCACCTCGCTAACCTCTGCGACACCACTCCCCCTAAAAAACGTCTTGTATCTGTGACTTTCCTTCCCTCAATTGATTTTGGTGATATTATTTACATGAACGCTCCTACAAGAACCCTGCAGATGTTGCATGCTGTCTATCATGGTGCACTAAGATTCATAACTGGCTGTGATTATCGTACCCACCACTGCACCCTGTATTCACTGGTTAACTGGACATCATTAACTTCACGCAGACTCTCTCACTGGTACATTTTCATCTTTAAATCACTTCTTGGTCTGCTGCCTTCATACATCTCCTCCTACATGTCTCTGCGTGAGTGCAGCTACGGAGTGCGCTCTCAGGACATTATTACCTGCAGTGTTCCCTCAGTGAGAACTGAACTAGGCAAAAGGGCCTTCTCCTATTCCACTCCTGTTTCCTGGAACATCTTACAAAAAGATTTGAAGCTCTCAACCTTGACCTCTCTAAGTGTCTTTAAGAATCTGTTGGACACCTGGCAGGGTCCAATGCTGACATGTTCCTGTTGTTAGTTTTCTACATTTGTCTTGGAATCTAGCTGGGTTTTTTTTGTTTTGTTTTTTTTGCTACCTTTTCCTTTTAGCCATCCTTTGTTTAAAAAAAAAAAAAAAAACTGTAGTATGCTTTTTTATAACTGTTTATTGTTGTTGCTGTTGTCCATTGTTGTCATCTTTCTTTGTTGAAATCAGGTCTCTCTTGTAAATGAGTCCTCGAGGCTCAATGGGATTTACCTGTATAAATAAAGGTTGATTGATTGATAATTGTTAATTTGATGACTCAGATAAAGTCTAGACAGCCCTACCCCTTTGTGCTTCCCCTACATTACTGAAAATCGTTGGACATATGATGGGCTATGTGGTGAAATGGGATTCAAACTCATACTCAACATGGGAGGAACATTAGTTTGAAAGAGGAGTGAAGGAAGCCATCTTTGTGAAGACAACCCATCCAATGATATAAACTGGGCAGAGGCTTCTATGTCCAATTGTCCCCAAACTATAATGCATTTAGGGTCAGTATCACTCAGCCCTCTGTGAATAGCAAGCAGCCATCAGGGCCCTGTCGATCAATTGTTAGGCTGATGGTTCTCCTTTTGAATGTGAACAGCTAGTTCTAGATGTCACCAGCAAACTGGATGATCCACTACGAGAAGGTGCTGCTTATAAGACTAAGTTTGTTGCAGCTCCTCGGATTGAAGAAGTCTTTTGGATAAAAGACGAAAAGTTTCATCAAAGAAGAATCCGTCCAGAAGACCTGACTCAGCCTTCTTGGATGACTGATTATTATTTCTCAATGTGACAAAATAAATGAAACACAAACCTAGCATCTGAGCTAGATGTGTGCTAGCATGCTGTTCATACACAGTTTTTAATTCATTAGACACCAGCGGATGCTTCAAAGTACACAAATTATGACACATTTGGCAGCAATCAAGACAAACCATCTCATCCGTGAAAACCAAATGTTTTCCACTCATTGGAGGTTTTTGTACTAATTCCAATTTGTATATTGTTTGTTTTACACTTAAAAAATTCGTACAAAAAATAAAAATACAACCAAAAATGACAGTCACTACAGACAAGGTTTGGTATAAATGGAGTCTGATAAATCAAGCTTCTAAAAATCCACAAGTTTTGTCTGTAAATTCATGAATTTTGTTAGAAATTTCTAAAGATCTTTTTGTAAATCCAACCACAGCCCCCACACTTTATATTTTATTTATTTACTTTTACAAACCAGCAGTATTCTTTAGAAGATTTTGCACTTTGTTTAAATGCACGCATATGATTTGGATGTGTACAAATATTAATAATTTTAAGTGGAAAAATAAATACCTAAATGGACTTAAAACTCAGTGCTTGAACTGCATCTTACTTATTATCAGCAATTAGTACAAAATGTGAGTAATTTTAGTTATAAATAAAACAAAACACGTGTAATGACTTGCTTTCTTTTCTTTTATGGTGAAGTCAATGTAAAGTGAACAGTTTCTAATTTGTACTCAGGGCCTCATCACTGAGCCACATGATAAACTTTGATGCTTGGCTAATATACAGAAAACGAGCTCTTAGATTTAGCGCTTTCTGAACTGACAGACTCAAATATGTGAGTGCAGACATGAACGTCCTATAGTCAGCTAAAGATGGTGTATTGTTCCAGTCGAGAATAAATATATGTATGATTAGACAAAAATGATTTTCCCGTCCTACAGTCATATCTGTGCGCACCAAAACATACGTAATGCAAAGAAAAACTGCACATCTATCCACATCTTGAGACTTTACCATTTGTCCCTCGACTCTTCTGCTTCTCTCCTCTTCATCCTCCCCCTCCCCTTCTCCTCTGGTGTAGGGGAGTCGTTGGTACATATAGCTCTCCCCCATACTGTAACAGCTCCTCTCGTCCTTGTTGTCTGACGCTCCTCTGTTCCTGTGCTATTCAGAGGAGGCGTTAGCACTGCTTCCTATGCTCTAACGTGTTAATCTCCTCTCAGCTCCATGATCTCCTGTATTCAATTGATGAGTGCATGCGCAAACACGGATACAAACCCTCAGACAGGGTGTTTGACGCCACTCTCTCCTGTCGTATCACCTAAAGCTATCTATAAACGCACTCTATCCTCCCTCCCACTGCTCTTTTTGCTCCCTGCTGACTCACGGCTCCCTGCAACGTTGGACACTTCCATACTACCCTTCTCTCCTACGTTTCCTCCTCTCTTCTCCATCTGCTCCTGGCTCAGCAGCCGAGCTGACTGTCTGATGTTAAATAATTCAGCAGCTTGAATCAGAGAGTGAGAGGCAGATCTTGGAGGAAAGAGAGAGAATGGAGATATGTATATGTGGATAGAAATGAGAAAATGGAACATGATCAAACCAAAGAAAAGGGATGTGGAAACGATTCCCAGCATGATGGTAGAGATGGAGCAGCAGCGTTGCCCAACCCAAACAAACAAAGCATATCTAAAGATATTAAAGTATTCATTCGCACACACCTCCCAACAACAAAACAGCATTATTTTTATTTCTGAAAATACATCAAGAAATTTATCGGCACCAGCCTTTCGT